CTGCGAGCGTCCTTGCTGACCCGGGAGCTGACACACCGCGTCCGATGAGCTAAGGCATGTTGGACTCAAGTTCCCGCTGAAGAAATGGAGGCCCAAGGAGGCGAAACTGTTTTCTGAGCTCATGCATTCATTCATATTCAAAATGTCTGTGCCAAGCACTATGGTGGGCCCCCGTGGATATATGCAACAAGAAAAGCAAGAGTTCTTCCTCTTGGAGCCAGTGAGAGAGACCTTAAGTCAACAAGTGCACAATTTCAGATGGCAAAGCTCATGCGAAGACAATAAAAAGGGGGACGGGATAGAGAAGACTGGGCATGTGGGCGTTTGTTTTAGGTCTGAGGAAGTGGCTTTTGAACTAAGATGTGAAGGATACAGGATCTGAGGACCCAGGTTGCAGGAAGCAGAACCAGCAAGTGCAAGTGCTCTGAGGCAGACAAAAGCCTCTGGGAGGGGAAGGTGAGGTGTACTCAAGAGAGAGGAAGAGAGCCTGGGGTTGCAGGAAGGAGTAGGGGGTCCACAGATCTGCACAGCTGTGTGGGCTTGTCAAAGAGCACGAATTCCAATAGCCAGTTCTGTGGGAAGATGGTGGGGGACAAGGTAGGAGGTGACTCATCTGATGTGTGTTCAGCAACCTTTGGCTGTCCCAGGGAGAACCCACTGAGGGAAATAGGGAGAATGAGCAAAGTGCAGCCAGACAGACCCAGAGAGGGACTCCAGTGCAGGTGCAGGTTTGAGGCATTGGTGATTTGCGTTAGGGTGGTGCGTTAGCACACAGCCACATTATCTGAAACTCCTTCTAGAGAGAGATGAGTTCCCTGTGCTCTCCCTGCTTATGTGTGTGCTTGTCATGGTGCCCATTAATAAGGTGTAGCAGAAATGATGTGCAAAAATAGAAAGTCTGGGTGATAAAAGACAATGCAGCTTTCATTCTGTTGGTTGGAATACTTATGCTGGGACCTTGAGCCACCATGGTGGAAGCCTGGAGGTGGCCATGCTGTGAGGAAGCCCAGGCACAGGCAGAGGCCATGTGTGGGTGCTCCAGCCCACAGTCCCAGGTGAGTTCAACCCTGAATCACTCTGGTCCAGGTGCCAGACATGTGGGTGAAGGTGCCCCCAGATGATCCCAGCCCCCACCGCCTGGCCTTTGCATCTGTCCCACTGAGGCATTGTGGACAGCGCCCCATGTATCATCATCCCCATGTACCTGCCCAGATTTCTGAGTCCCATAACGTGTTAGGAAGTGGTAGTTTTTGCACCACTACGTTTGGGGTGAGGAGGTGCTTGCCACACAGTGGTTGTAGCTGAGACAATTGGGGTAGAGATGGAGTGCGGAAAGGAGGGAAGGGTGCGGACACAGGGCTCAAGCAGCACTGCCAAGGCTTGAGAGGAAGCAGTGGAGAGGAGGAGGGACAGAGAAGGAGAGAGAGCATGGCCCTGTTGCTGACTGGAGCACGTGGGTGAGAGGAGATGCCAGTTAACGGTCTGGGGAGGGTTGGAGGAGGCGGGGTGTGGGGGGAATCACAGGGCCTGTCTTGGGCATGTTCTTCCCTCCTTTGCAGCTCGGCCCCTCCTCTTTCACCCACAGGGGCAGTCAGCACCACACCCTGAGCATCCATCTCCAAAGCGTCTCTCAGTTATGCCCTTTCTTTTCCGTGTGCCTCGTCGTTATCTCAGACCAAAGATTCACTCATGTCACATATGTGGGAGGGTACTTGTGACCAGACGTCAGGTCAGGTGCTGGGGACATACCCTTGGACCAGGGCAGATGCCGACTGCATCTGCAGGTGAGGAAGGAGGAGGAGAGGAGGGCCGGAGGGAAGTACCAGATAAGACAGGCCAGCGAATCAAATAGATCCAGTATCTGCCCTGCTGAGCAGCCCACCTGAGGGCTGATTTAAAGATCAGACACACAGGTAGCACTACAGTGTGCCAGGCACTGTCATCTGCAGCCTCAGACATATTAGCCCATGTCATCTTCTGACAATGCTGTGAGGTAGGTGCTCTTCTTGTTGATATGATCATCACACTCATCTTGTCTTGTAGGATGAGAAAAAGGAATCATGAAGGGATTAAATAGAGTCCCACATTCTTACAGCCAGTTGACGGCTGGGTTGGGCTTTGAACCCATAGGGTATTGGCTTTGATATCTGCTCTTAATCCAACTAAGAGGCTTCCCATCTAACGTGAAAGAAAGACTTGGGCCACTGAGGTGTGAAAGAAGGTGTTAGGCACCAAGATGTGGGGTGTGCAGAGGACTGTGGGAATGCAGTCTGCAAGGAAGACTTCCTAGAGGAGGTGTTCCTAATGCAGGATCCTAAAGGAATGAGTTGGTAGTTTTTGAAGCCAGTGGAAGCAGGGTCTATGGACGTCCAAGGTGTCAGAGGGAGTGGCAGCAGAAGGAGGCTTGCAGGGAAGAGGCCCAGTAGAGTGTCTGGGACACAGGGCATGCTAATAAGTTTGGACGCTATCATAAAGAAAAACAGGAGGGTCACATGATCAGATTTGTGTTCCAGAGGGATCATGGCAGCTGTGTGGGAACCAACATAAAGGGGCAAGAGATGAGGGTAAAGTAACCGTCATCTAGGGGAGAAAAGTCCCAGCCCAGACAGTGGTAGTGGCAGACAGCAAGGAGAGAAGGGGGTGGATTTCAGAGTTAGTTTGTATGCAGAATAGAGAGGAGGGGGAAGGCATCCTGTCCCGTGAGGCTGTGTGGCAGGTGAGGACAACATGAAGATAGAATGCGGGAAGGAGATCTTGTGAAGATGAACTTGGTTTCGGACATGCCACCGAAGGGGTGGCTGAATGTGTGCACCTGGCACTCAGGAGAGAGGATCGGGCTGTGGAGAGTGACTGGGTCTCTCCAGCCTGAAGCGGGCAGGCCTTCAAACCAGGGCATGGGCAAGATGCATCAGGAAGTGAGGAGGGTGGGTGGGGAAGGCCCAGAGCCTCCATGTGATTTAAATTAGGGCTCCCCACCCTGTTAGGAACTGGGCTGCACAGCAGGAGGTAAGCAGTGGGTGAGTGAGCAAAACTTCACCTGTTTTTCTAGCTGTTCCCCATCACTCGCATGACTGCCTGAGCTCTGCCTCCTGACAGATCAGCACTGAAAAGCCTGCTTCCATTTCCAACATCCTGTCTTTGTGGAGGATTTTCTGCAGTGACTGCAACCAAAATGAGATGATGGAGTAGATTGGACATAAGCAACTCATTTTGGGTGTCACTGCCTCCCATAACTCCCATGTTGTAGGAAAACAAGCCCAGGGCTCCCTCTGATTCTGCATGATGGTGAGTTGCATACAAATTTCATTATATAATACAATGTAATACTATAGAAATAAAGTGCACAATAAACATAATATACTTGACTCATTCCGAAACCATCCCCCGACCCCAGTCTGTGGAAAAGTTGTCTTCCATGAAACCGGTTCCTGATGCCAAAAAGGCCAGGGACTGCTGTATTAAAGAACCAACTGGGGAAATGGAACAACTGAGGGTGACTGACAAAAATGAACCCAAGCAGCAGGGAGTTTAGCAGAGAGCAAGAGAAGGAGAAAGGAGCTTGTAGTGTCTGACTTCACAGAGCTGGCAGGTAGGCAAGGACTGCAAAGTGTTTTGTTTTGTCACCCTAGCATCCCTAAATGTTTATGGTCTGGCTCCAAATTACTCTTATAGCCC